GCATAAATTTGAACATTAAGAAACCTGAGAGAGGTAGAAATGGAATTAGAAAGGAAAATAATTATTCAGTAAATTATTTTGTAATTTAGACTATATTAAACTATAAAATATTAACTATTAAATGATAGATTCATCTCAACATTAAGGAGTTTTTTTTTTTATTTAAAAAAATAAGATTAACTTTTATTTTAATTGTAAACATTGTGTTAGTTATTTATTTATTCATTTTAAAATTAAGATTAAAATTATTTTTTAATTAAAATTTCATATATATTTTTTTAAATAACAATTATTAACTAATACTTATTTTTTATTTTATACTCTTAAGATATAATATAATCAAACTTTTAAATTTATTATTAAGCGGAATGAACTGAGTCAAGTAAAGCTTTTATCGAGTCAACAAACGGTTGGGTTTAGTTAGAGCAAGTGAACACCTAAGCAAGGTAAATGTCGATATTCAGCCCATAAACAAATAATTGGTTAGAAGTTGCAAGCAAGTAATTAGAAAGTAACAAAACAATCCCCTAAATGCGGAATGCTGCCCCATTCTGGTTTGACTTGTGCCAGAACGTGGATGGGACAATCATTTAAAGGCGTTGGGAGTTGGGAGGTGGAACCGCCCCGCCGTCTCCACCAACGGATATTTCGTCTCACAGCAGTCTAGTTCATAACATCCAACGCCCTTGTACCTTAAAGAACCAGAAAATTAATCTCAATCTTTTTTTCTTTTTTTTTTTAACGAATCTCTCGATATCTGATAATCACATTAAATCTCGATTAATTCGAAGTCAAGTCGTGTCAGATTTATTAAAAAAAAATTTTTTCAACATCTATTTTTTCATTCATAAGATTCAAACTCGATATCTAATTTAAAAGAAACCGAATTCTTTTTATGCAAATCGAACTAACAACTCGTTAGTTATCTCATTTAATTTTTTAAAGAACACTAAATTACATTAATTTTAAGACTCAAATTAAAAGGAAGAAGCCTTTTGGGCCTCTTTAGTTTTCTCTTGCATTCTTCTGAAGTCTAACTTATCTTATAAATTTGATG